CTGCTTCTGAGTAATCTTGGTTTCAGATCCTTGCTCCCCATTACCTTGAGTACTTCATGCCATTCTTTTCTGGCCTGCACAGTTTCTGAGAATCAGGCGTCAGCCATCTGGAGATCTTTTGTAGGTAACAGTTTGCTTTTCTCTTGCTTCCTTTAAGATTCTCCCTTTGACTTTAATTTTTTGGCATTTTAATTATGTTGTGTCTAGGCGTGGGCCTGTTTGGGTTCTGCTTGCTTGGGACTGTCTGTACCTCCTGAATTGTGTGACTTTTTTCTTTACCAGGTAGGGAATTTTTCTGCCATTATTTCTTCAAACACGTTCTCTATCCCTTTCTTTCTTTCTGCCTCTTCTGGCACACCTACTATTCAAATATTGTTATGTTTCACATTGTCCCAGAGCTCTCTTATGCTGTCCTCCTCTTTTATCATTATTTTTTCTGTTAGGTTCTCTGATTGAGTGATTTTTTTCAACCCTGTCTTCTAATTCACTAATTTGATTCTCATCTTCCCCTAATTTGCTGTGTATGACTTCCAATGTGTCCTTTATTTGTGCTATGTCATTCTTTATTTCTGTTTTCATAGTTACTAGGTCTTCTCTCATGCTGTTGAGCCCCTGTACCATTGATATTTGGAACTATCCAGTTCTGTATCAGATAAATTTCTTATGTCCATTTCATTTATCTCTTATTCTAGAGAATTCTCTTGTTCTTTCAATTGAGTTTTGTTTCTTTGTGTCCTCATTTTGGCTGCCTGTTTGGGTTTGTGACTATATATTAGGTAGATTTGCTATGCCTCTCAATCTTTAGTGCAGGACAGTGTAAAACCTGTTTCTGGCTAATTGGGCCAAGCAAAGACTCAAAGCCTCCAGACCTATGCCTACAGACTGATTGGATTTAGTCTTGACTAGCCCTCAAGCAATTGTCCACAGGTTTAGTGAGAGTTTTTTTCAGCAGGGTGGGGCAGTTGCTTCTTCCAGGAGGATACTTGTTATTATCATTCTTTGTTTAAAATTAAATCTTTATTGTTCAGATTATTACAGTTGTTCCTCTTCCCCCCCTCATAGCTCCCCTCCACAAAGTTCCCACCCCACCTTCTGCCCTTACCCTTGCCATTGTCCTCATCCATAGGTGTATGATTTTTGTCCAGTCTCTTCCCGCACCCCCTACATCCTTCCCCCCTGAGTATTGTCAGTCTACTCCCTTTCTATGTCCCTGATTCTATTATATTCACCAGTTTATTCTGTTCATCAAATTATTTATCTTCTTAAAGGATACCTTTCAGTATTTCA